TACGTACAAGTAAAATAAACTATATATTATTGTCAAAGAAATTAAGAAAAAAACAGGTGATTCTAAAAACTCACAATTTCTGAATCCCCTCTTATAATTGCTGACTTCATATTTAAATGGTTGTGAACCTATAAGAAACAATTTTGCGTGTTAAAGAAGTAAAATGATAGAGGTGAAAGAACAATTAAAGACAAATAAAATAAACCTGAGGTTGAAATGATTCAATGAAATCCCATAATTGATCTGCACATCCGTAATGTTTCATTGATGAAGAACTTGAGCCATATATCAAATAGATTTGACGGAAGTTGCGGCAAAGACCGAAGCCTTGGGCAACCCCAGAGACCAATACCCTTAAGCTTCGAAAGACTGGAAATGAGGCCAGATGGTAAGTCAATGAAATCGTTTCCACTTAGATCTAAAATTTCCAATGATGATAACATGCTGATGTCATCGGGAAGTGATGCATCATGGAGATTGCAGTTACTAAACGTAAATGTCTCAATGATGACAAAGACGGCAACAGCATAAAATTTGTTGAGCTTGATGGCCTTTGAAGAAGGGAGAAGCAACTCCATGATGATGAAAATGTGCTTCATCATTGCAGTCACTAAATGATAACCCTTTTATAGCAATCCCACTCAAATCCAGCTCTTCCAAAGCTTCATTTTCATTCAAATTCTCTGGCAGCCTTGAAAACTTTGAGCATTCAGAAATTTTATAACTTTGAGAGCTTTCAACTTATTAACACTACATGGAAGACAGACCAGCTTTTTGCAGTTCCTCAAATTTAATTCAACGAGGCCAATCAAATTGCCCAGTGATTGAGGGTAGTTTGGCTATACCAGTCTTCTCTAAATCAAGCTTCGATAGACATGTCATATCTTTTCCAAACTCAGGAAGTTTTCTAACTTTTGAACAACCCGATAGAATAAAAGTCTCCAAACCATTCATCTCAAATTTTTCTGGAAGGGTTTTAACTTCTTTGCAATCTTTCAAGTCAACAATGACAAGTTTCTTGTGTTGCCCAAGAGACTGGTGAATTTTAACCAAGTTAGAACACCCTTCAAGAATCAACTTTTCAAGATGAGGAATTCCATCAAAATTTGGGTTTTGATGAGGTATTTTGAATGAGATAGATCAAGAGACTTTAGGCTTGGGAGAGGCTAACAATAGAAAAATAGGAAACAATAAGCCCTCAAAACCAAACACTAATTATAATTATAATTTATTAAATTATGGACAAAGAATTTAAATGAAAGGATCGTAATACCTGTGTTCCTCTCCAAAGTTTTTTTAATTTGCTATGTTGCATTTTTAGTACTACAAGTTCATGGAGTTGAGGCTGACTAGGCAAATAAAATAATGGATACCCCACCCATTCTATGACTTTCAACTCGCTGGAAAGGGTCTTGAGCCCATGCGGAAGATTTAATTGGCAATGTGAAACATGTGAGCGACTTGAAATGATAAGTAACCTGAGATTACTCATCTTTGAGAAGGCTTCAGGATCCCAAAATGCATCACATGACTTTTCCAATGTTAGGGCCATTCCTCGAGTTGCTTCTGTCCCCTATAAAACAACAAGCCAAGGTAAATGTTGTGGAATATATTAATATTAAAAAGCACATAAACAAAAGAACGGTTGAATAATGTCACCTTATTTCTTTTTAGTACATGATTGGCATCCTCCAAAGACAATATCCTTGAACGCTTGCCGGCGTCATAAGGTGATTCTTGATAAACAATATATTTTCCCATATCTTGGAGAATTTCATGCACCCACAAATGCCCTTCATAATTAGTTATTAGTGATCTCTTAATGAGAACATTTATCCCAGTTTCTGGGTGAAGATCCTTCTCCAAAGTTTCTAAAATTTGTATGACATGATCTTTGTCCATCCCATTGAAAAAGCAAGCAATATCCAAGAATATGGTTTTTTCCTGATCATCCAGTCCATCAAAACTCACTTGAAGTATCTTCAAAATGTCCTTTGGAGGAACTTTCTTGAACTTAGCTAGTTCATCTTTCCATTCCACTATAGTTCTTTTGCAAAGAGATGAACCTAACACTGTGAGCACTAAAGGAAGGCCTCCAGCATACTTAATGACAGTTCTAGCAAGTTTCAAATAATCTTCATTAGGATGCTCTTCTTTAAAAGCTTTTTCAAGGAAAAGTTCAAGGGACTCGTTATCACTCAATAATTTGAATTCATACACAGCAGATACACCATGTGATGATAACAAATGCCTGTCCCTAGTTGTTATTATTATTATGCTCCCTTCACTGAACCATCCTTGCTTTGGAGCCAATTTTCAAGTTGCCTAATATCACTCACATCATCAAGGACAAGTAGAATTTTTTTGTCAGTCAACTTTCTCTTTATTAACCCCATTCCTTCATAAAAATCAGCCACTTCCATACTCTTTTTTTCTAGAGAAGAAAGAAGTTTTCTTGGCAATGAAATCAAACCTTCTTTTTCCCATGCCTCTCTAATATTATCAAGGAAGCAGTGAATCTCAAAGTTTTTGCGCTCTTGCTTCCGCTCATAAAAGGCTCTAGCAAGAGTTGTTTTGCCTACGCCTCCTGTGCCCCATATTCCTATAAACCCAATTCCTTTTGATTCCCTTGCTACAATTGACTTCAATTCATCTAATTTTGGTTCAATTCCAATTAACTTGCCATGACCAGATGCTGATTTATCAAGTAACTTTGACCCCATTTCTTCAGCAATGCTTTCAATGAATTCTGTTTCATACCTGCATATGAAAATAAAATTGTAAAATGATTTTTTTTGGACATGAAAATAGCGTGACGGTTTTAAGTCAATTGAATTTTGAAGTTTTTGCATAAACAATAAAAGACACTTGATGTGAGATGTAAAGAAAACATGACCACAATTGTAGCAATCTTAAGTTTTCCGTGAACGTTAGTTTAACTTAATGGGGACAGGAGATAATTATTTGCAGACATACACGGTTATGTGTGTGTGTCCACACACTTTACTATAACTCCTAGATATTGAAGTCACTTAATCAACACATTATAAATTATTAATATTAATTTTTTAATTGTTGAATTACATAATTATTATTATGTAATTTTACTAATACATATTCAAAAAAATGACCATTTCAGAATTCTATCATTAATTGAATTCAATTGGAAAACAGAGATCATCTACAACCTAGTGCTACTAGTCTATTTTAGCAACAAAGAAAAATACAAGTCTATAATGAAATAACATGGGTGAAATATTAAGGAAAAAAATAATCTAGCAGTCCTCGTAGTTTTATTTGATTTTGAATCAAGTCTTTTTATTTTTTGTTTCTTTTTTTATGAATTTTTTATAATTTATTACATTAAATGAACAATTCCTTCTGTTAAAAATACCCCCAACACGGTTAATGATGTGGTGACATAGCATTAAAAAGGCTACATGGACTTGCTTTCTCTTCTTCCTAGTAAAAGCCTGCGGCTCTCTCTCTCTCTCTCTCTCTCATCCCTTAAGGGCCAACCACGCCAGTCTCATGCCAAAAGGTTTAAATTGTATTCACTTTCCATATGCCGCTGGAGATATACTATTCCGTCTTTTATTATAAGATATTTTTAACTAAATTACGTAATTTAAAAAATAATTAAAATTAGTTAAAAGCAATTAATATTTAACAAATGCAGTTTTTTTCTAAATATACCCCTATATATAAATAGAAAAATATGAAAGAATAATAATGAGATAAATAAAAAAAGAGAATGTATTAAATACACTAAATTAGGAATAAAATAGATAATGCTGCATTAAATGTTCAGACAAACTCAAAGAGTATCTTATAAAAAAAACCCATTTAAAAAATTAGATCTTATAATAAAAAAACAGAGGAAGTATATGTAAACAAATTCATATATTAAATATGCAGATGTTTTCAACTTTTTAAATGAGCTGACTTCAAATGTGTGAATATAGTTTAAGGAGGAGCTTTTCTTCTTCTTATCGACTGGTGTGTTTGGCCCTTGATTAATGAGAGAAAGAGAGCCACGATCTTTTACGTGGAAGAAAGAGAAAGAAAAAGCTCATGATTGGCCTTGGAAAGAAAGAGAAAGCAAGCCTTTTTAATGCCATGTCACGTAGCATTAATAGCGTTGAGAGTATTTTTACGGAAAGAGTTGCTCATTTATATAACAAATTATAAAAATTCAAAACGAAAAAAGAAACTAGAGGAACCTAACTAAAATCAGACAAAACTTAAGAACTACTACATTAATTTTTCTAATTATTTCTTATTATAGCGATTAAGAAAGTTGTTTACAGTTAAAATAGTTAACAATCAATATAAAAATATAATCCAAAAATTCATTAATAAAAAAATAAACAAAAACAGAAAAAAAAATTAGACATTTATAATCAATACTAGAGACATTAATCTCTATATTCATGTCTAATCAATTCTCTTAATAATATTCATTCCTTCTACTTTATCTCAATTACAAAAATATTGCATATCTTTTAAAACATACCTAAGCCTCGCTTCAAATTGCAATGTATTTTACACAACCCTCTCTTATATATTTGAGATTTTATTTTTCATCTATCTAAATTTAACTTTAAGCCTTTGCTTTGACCAAAATACTTTTATTTAGCATAAAAATTATTTAAATAATTATATTTGTCAAAAAACATAATTTTTTTATAATAGGAAATAATTCTACTGCATATGTTTTCAAACATTCTAATATGTTATCAGATTAATTAATTATTAATTTTGATTATATAATGAAATTGTATAATTTTATTTTTTTCATTGCATGTATTGATATACATTTATTTAGATTTCTTTTAAATGTCTAAGATCATATTTAAAAAGCTTATTTTATTCATAATACATATAATAAATAATTTGAATTTAAGAGATTATATTAATAACTTAAATTTGTAATTTAAAATTTTTAAACTATTTTTGTAATAAACATCTATAAACATATTTTTTGGAGTGAATTTATAAAAACATTTAGTGAAGTGTATATTTATTAAAGGAATTACTGAAATTCTTAATAAAGCTTTTTATATCTATAATAATTAAATTACTTAAGCTTTTATCCCAATATGATAAAAACATAGAAAAATATTTATTTGCAAGAGATAATTAAGAGAAAAAAAGAAAACATTTAAATTCTTCAAAATAATTTTATCCAAAATTAGGAATTTAGTATGATAAAGGATAAATTAGTAAATAAATATTATTCTAGTACAAATTTTAATTAAAAATATCTTTTTAAAATACTCTTAGCAAAATTAATCATTTAAACTTAAGTGTATGTTTTCAAAATAGATAAAAAGAAAAATGTAATTAAAGGTAAAATAGATTAAAGTATTCTAGTTTTAAGTAAATAACATTTATAATACTTGTTAGTTAAAACTTCAAGCAGTCCACCCCTACCCATTTTAGGGAGGGAAGGGACCTACTCACTCACCCTTATTTAAATATAATTTAGAGTACATTTGAATATCTACACCCTTGTTTCTCAACCAAAAAAGAGAGATGATAATTATTGAGAAAAGTGAAAATTACCGATCTTTTGAGTCCCAGCCAGATAAAGTAGCAACTTTTTCTAAAGCATCTCTCCACTTTTGTACCTTTCTTTTGTTTTCGGTAAATCTTTCTTCATGCTTTTTGAATGCTTCTGCAAAACTTCCCTTTTGTTTCCTAACATCAGAAGGATCTACACTATAAAATATCGGAAATACTTGAAAACTCGTCTCTTCCTTTAACTGCAGGATCTTTTGAAGCTCATCCAAACACCAAGTTGAAGAAGCATAATTTGGGGAGAGCACAACAATTGCAGAACGAGACTCTTCAATTGCTTGTACTAAACTTGGATTAATAGATTCTCCCCTTTCAAGTTCTTCTTCATCCCTGAAAGTTTTTAATCCTTTGCGTTTTAAAGCGGCATACAAATGATCAGAAAAATTTTTCCGAGTATCTTCCCCTCGAAAGCTCAAAAACACATGATACTTCCTTCTCCTAGTTGAACCAGAAGAACTTGAAGAGCACCCAACTCCATCAGCATCACGCGCCATTGTAACGCAAGGATTAGGAATCTGAACGCAAGTACAAAAGTAAAAACATAAAAATAGAAAGAATAATGCATATATAATAGGACCTTCAAGAAACAGGGCAGCAACCAGCGAGGGGGATACTGAAGACGGAAGAAATTGGACCAATTTTTGACGATTCGATCAGGCTAAATATATGAGAGGCGTGATTTGATCCAGCCTGCTATGAATCTGGCAAAACTTTGAGGCAGAACATAAATCTAGTTCGCAGATTCAAAAGTTCATGAAAATTTCAAAGATAGTCTAAAAGAATTGGCAAGGAAGAAAATAGATCCCAGGTTAATTGAATGGATAACTAACGAGCTAGGGGTTGACCTGCTCAGCTGTGCCCCCATTGTTCCTTAATTTTGGGTGCCCTTTCCAATTTCTTTCAGTATTTCAAAAATCGTATAAAATTGAAAAATGAATAAGTTTTGGCCCGTAAGATATCAAAATATCGTTCATTTTATACAAAATCTAATAACAAAAAAAAACTAAAAAGAAACATTTAGAAAGGACCCCAAAATTAAGGCGTGGCTGGGAGTGTAGCCGGGAGAGCTGACGCACAGTGGTTAACTATGCTTATATTTCTTACGGCTCATGGTCTATTTATAGTTCAAAGCAAAAGTTTTGTATTCAAAGAAAGCATAATCACAAAATTAATGCTTGAAGGCTAAATCCATTTCACAGAAGGAAAAAAAAGAAAAAACCAAAATAATAGAAACTAATCTTAAGCTGACAGTGGTAGCCATGACAGAAAATAGATATATAACTTAATTAGAAAGGAAGAAAACAGGAACCTGATGGATGAAATAAGTGAAAGATTTCTTTGATCTGCGACCTGATCGGAAGAAGATGAAACCCCGTTATGCACAGATTTGCATTTTTGAGGATGAAGCTTTTCAAGTCAACTCAAGGCTTCTCTTTAATTTAACAAGCGTTTACAAATGTTCTTTTCAAACCGCGTGGCTGTCTTCCACTTTGCAAGAATTTTTTATTATTGATCAGCTGACGAATGTTCTTTGAAATTGGGACATAGAAAAAACTCTTTGAAGCCCCGATTTGAGGGCTTTAACAAACTAAAGTGACGCTAGGATTAGAAAAAGTTTAATACTTTATTAGGATGATTGTGGTTTGTTATTCTTTATACCCTCCGATCCTTAATATAAAACTCATTTAACTAATTTGATTAGATTAAAGAAGTTAAGTAAATTAATTAACTATAAAAAAATAACACATTTTTTCTAAAACACTATAATCATCTTTCTTAATACTCCATCTCCCTCTTCTACTTGATTATGGTTGAGAGAGTATTTATAGGAGTAATATAGAGAAAATTGATAAATATGAAAAATAGGTCTTATATTTAGAACCAAAACTAACTCAAGAATTGGGTCCTATATTAAAGGTCGGAAGAGTATAATAGACCTTGTACTCTTCTGCTTGTAAGAGTCTGATTTAGCTACCACACGGCAATACAGAGTTGGTTTAGCAGTGCTCCACTAGAATTTTTTTGGGTTTCAAGTTTGAGTTTCAGAGGAGATACTTGTGCTGTGATGAGTAGCCACAAACCCCGAATTAGATTAGTAGATTGTTCGAATAGCTGGTAATAGGATCAAAGAAAAACCGGATAATAGTATTTAAAAAAAAAAAAACAGAGAGAGAGAGAGCCTGATTTAGCCTGGAATTACGTATCAGATCAAAGTTATGGCAGCATTTCTACTTGAAAGAATTTCACACGACTTCTTTTCTTTCTTTCTTTTTAAAGAATTTCTAGTTGATTTTTATGTTATTTTTACCAAGTTAAGTAAAGTTCCTTCAATTTGTCAGGCATTTTTACTGTAATAATAAATCAGACTACGAGAGCCATCTCAGCCACAACTTCATCTTTCCCAATAAATTAAATACAAGGCCTTGTCTCATCCTTTGTGCTCAAGTTTCTCAAACCAAAGTCTCTATTAAGGCAGAAATTGCAAGATTTAGCAGTCCAAAGAAATAAAGAGATCATTCTTGTCTTGGATAATAATAATTTTCATTTTTTTGGGCCGGCTATAATTTTTTTTAAAATTTGATAATTATATTTTATTTGATGCACTAATTATTTTTAGAAAACAGAGATAACTTTTTTGACGTGTACTACAAGAGAAAAGTACCAAAAGAGACTCTGCAGTCCAAATCTATGTATTTCATATCTGATCTAATTGGAAAGTGTGATGACTGTTCTTTCAAAAAAATTTATATTAAATCTAACAATTTATTCGCAAAATTAATCATGATAGAAAAGAAAAAACTTTAAGTTTATAAAATCGCTATCATGGTTAAAAAAAATAAACTTATATTATAAGTAATATCGATCGTTAACTTGGGCTTCGAACTTCTAAAGTCCAGAAATACCATTAAATTATTAACCCAAACCAAACTCATATTTTCAAATTTACGAACTAATAAAGTATTTTAATATAAGCTTATAAAGCCTATTAGTCAAAAGTCAACACTTTCAAAGAGTGTCACATGCAGAGTCTAAGATGTCTCTGGCCTTCTAGCGGCCCTCTCATATCAAATAGTAATAATTAAAAGTATTAGTTTATAACATTAAAGTAGATGAGCCCTATGTAACAATATATAATAAATCAGCACATAAAACAAAAGCCAGGAGGCTATATAAGTTATAACAGCACATTATGCCTCCAGAGCCTTCCCTGATAGGCCACGATGTGAGAAAAACACCTCAGTAACCAACTTTCCAACTTATCATACATACTAACACGTGCTCGTGAAGTGTTAAGTGAGACAGTTATTAATTTTCGAGAAATATAGATATATCCATAGAAACATAACTTCAATCATCCAAACCTTATTATAGTGGCCAACACACAAGCCACATAAGTCTATCCCTCATTATGGGAGATTAATTAGACATATAGGCTTATCTTTCACTTTGGGAGAGGAGTAAGAAGCCACAAAAGCTTATCCCTCACTATAGGGGACCAAGGAAGTCAATTAATGTGCACCAATGGCGGCTTTATCATGTGGTAGGATCGGACTTAATCCAAAATCTAAATAACAACCAATTATTCACAATATAATAAAAATATCTCAATCTTTTCTCAGTATAATCCATAAGATATAGTCATATATTTTTTCAAACTTCTCAATCACAAATCCAAAAAATCCCACAAGAAGATTTTCATAGCCCAAAAATATAACATATCTCCTTGGCTTTTAAATAACACATTATTATTCCAAAAATAGTCAAATACTCACAAACAACATATTAGCACATATAATAAGTGGAAAGTGGTTACTTCTCGCCAAATCAATAAAAAGAATTACCACAAGGTCAATCTTTTGCTCAACCCATAATTAATCTACACAATTAATATAACCACAAAATTAATATAATCTAATTAATTAATTAATTAAGCTTATATATATTAGTTAGATTTTTAATTTAATTTAATTTTTATTCTAAATTTTTGCAACTCTCATAACCCAAAATTAAGTATTTTAAAAATAACTTAAAATTTTCTAATAAGCCAAATTATTTATTTACAACCTCTGAATTATTTATCTTAATAAAAAGGATTTTTCAAAATTTTCAAATATAAAATTATTATGTTCTAAATTCTAAAAATCTTATTTTAAATTTAAATCTCAAAATCAAACTATCAAAAATTCAATATCACCTCAAATATTTATAAATAAATAATCTAATCAAAATTTTAATGGTATAACTATCATATATATATATTTCCATAAATAATAAACTTTTTAGTTAAAATAATTATTTTAAAACTTCAGTCACCCAATAAATAAAACTAAACCGATTAAATCTCAATAATATGTCAAACAACCTAAATAAATTATTTAACTTAAATTTAATTGGTAAAAATATAATATAAATCATATACAACAGATTTTTCAAATAGAAAAATTAATTTAAGTACTAAAAACCAACAAATGGACAAATTTAACCGATTAAAATTAACAACTCATTTATCTCTAAATTTCGATGATCATATTTTACCAAAACTCCCTATTTATATCATATATAAGTCTCAAAATATTCTCTAAGCACTACAATAATACTATTATTAGGAAGCCTAAAATATATAAAAAATATTCGTGAAGAAAATTTGATTAAAAAAGTAATTTTATGTACCTAAATTATCTTTAAAGTTTGCTCTCTTTTTCAAAATGACCGCAGCTCTGCTCATTATCTTCCGCACTCTTTCTCTCTTTTCCTCCTTCTCTCACGCACTCTCACCTTCTGCCTTACTCTCTTTTAATCTTCAATTCCAACTACCCTTCATCAATTTTTTCTCTTTGCATTAACTCCTCCTCCCTCAAATCTTTCTTCTCCCCTCAAATTCTTCTTTCTTAGTCAAGGGCTCAGCTTGTCTCCTTTTTTTTTTTAAAATATATTAAAATATTATTATTTTGTTATAATAATAATAATTTTTTACATAAATCCTAAAAATTAATTTAGGATATCACAAAAAGCAAGTCACCAGCCTTGTACCAATCCCGGCTTCCGTCCTGCCATAACGCGTTAGACACGGTCCATTCTGGAGTTGGTAACTTTTTACCAACCGTGTCGGTGTCGAAGCCACCTACCCTCCCATATATTAAAGGCGAAATGATCGTGATTTACAAAATATAATATAAGAATATGAATTGAGTTTTATTTCACCTTGCCTAAAAAGAGCTTCCATCTCCTAGTTGGTAAGACAAACCACGTCACAGTCCCATCCTCTCAGAATCCTTCTTTCTTCTTTTCTTCTAAGAATTTGATCTCCACATTTGGATCAAGTAATGAATGATCCAGATTTTATACTTTATAAAACTATTGTTATAACATTACATAAATAGGAGAGAAGATGGACATCTGCTCTTTAAAATATTAAATCAAACCATCTATTATTTAATCCAAAGATAGAAATGAGATTTTGAGAAGAAAAGAAAAAAGAAGGATTACGAGAGAA